CCACACATTTCTAGTTTTTATTAGTTTTTCTTTTTTCCCTGTATCTGAATGCTTCTATCTGGAATCATTTTCTTTCTCCCAGTGAGTTCTCTTTATGTAGGTCTTTTGTGGGAAATTTGTCTTCATTTTCTTTTTTTGAAAATGTTATAGGACAGGGAGAGGGGCAGCCCAAACCCCGCAAACCTGCCTATTCTAAATGGGTTCTACCATCCGCCGCATCAACACAAAACATATGAGACTTTAATGGGAAGGAACTTTAATAAAACTAGGAAACAATACAGGAAAAGCAAATAATCTAGTTTTTAAATGAAACACCCAAAGTTACCCATCCCCTCGTGGGTAAAACTCCATCCAAATGGGATCGGCCCAGAACAAGGCCCCAAAGCCTGCCACAAGTCTAAAGCATCTTCCAGTGGGGACCCACAGAAAAGGGTCACAAACAACCAGACAAGCCCAGAAGGAAAAGAGCAAAATCAACATCAAGATAAAAGCTGCCATTGTCACCTCCCCACGGGTCTCACCCACATCTGTGTCACCCAGTCCACGACCAAAAGACAAGCGCAGTTTCTTTACGTATCTCTAGGCTCCATGCGCCTCCTCCAGGTCTCCTGGCTCCATCCTGCTTCCTTCCTTAGTCTCTTCTGCAGCTTCTCCTCTTCCTGCTCAGCTCCACCCTCCCTTGGGTGGGGCAGAGAACCTCCCCCTTTCCTGGGGACCACCCTGTTACAATCCCCCCTTTTAATTTTTATTCCACCATATCTATGGTGGCACAGATCTCAGGGTGTAGTGTTAGGAGACAGTCTTTAGTTTGCCTTTTTTTGGGGATTTTTTTCCTCAGTATAGAACTGCTCCATCATCATCTGCTTCCAAATATGTGTTGAGAAGTAAGCCATCATTTTAACTTTGCTCTTGTTCATGTCAAAGTTATCTCTTTTCTTATCTGACTGATTTTAAGACTTCTCCCTTTGCCTTCCCCAACCCCCAACAGTTTTACCCTAATGTTCAAAGGTCCAAAGGTGTGTTTTTATTTCTGTCAGGTGTAATTCCTTTTTTGAGTCTTTTTATACTTTGCATAGAAGAACTGGGGTGTAGGCCATAGGTGCAAGGTTGTTGTTATAGGATTTACCAGAGACAGAGTGGGGAGCAGAATAGGCATATTTACCGAAATAGACTGCTGAGGGGAGCAGTGGGCGAGACTTGAGAGGTCTGCTGCGCCATGTTGGTAGCTCCCTGGCTGGGAATCGAACTTGTGCTGCAGTGTGCAGCTAGCTTCATAGGTTACATCTTAACCCCTTGAGCCACCAGGGAGGCCCACCAATACCTTTATTTTTTAACTACTAATTAGAACACCATGATGATAGCCATGTTAAAGTTTCTAATTACAGTGAGAAATATTTTCACAAAAGTTTCTTCAGTTGAGGCCTTTGTTCTCCCAGACAATCCAAATAGTAACTGGCATAGTAGTTAACTCTTCTTAAATAACTAAGCAGTTATAATTCATTAGAAACAATAAACAAAATCATCACCTTCACTGAAATTAGAATTGTACAAGACAAAGGGAGGTTAGGTTAGGCTTCCTTTTGTCACACGAGGTTTTAGATCCTGCCCCCAGCATCAAGACAGTGACTCAGTCAGAATACTTTATACTCTGCTATGGCCAAACAAGCTAAATTGAAAAAGCAAAGCGGTATTAATTAAATTGTTCAAAGAGCTGTGAACATTTTTGTTCCAAATGGTGAAAATAAATCCCATTTATTCATGTGTTAGTTTACACATCTTATTTTTTTTTTTTTAAGATTTATTTATACAAGAACTGGGGTACAGGCCAGAGGCACAGGACGGTGAGAGAATTCACCAGAGAAAGAGCGGGGAGCAGAACAGGCAGATCTACTGAAATACACTGCTGAGGAGAGCAGCGGGTGAAACTGGAGAGCTCTGTCACGCTATGTGGGTATCTCGCTGCCTGGATGGGAATCAAACCCACACTACAGAGGCTGTGGACAACTTCACAGCTCTGTGCTCAACCAGCTGTGCCACAGGGGAGGCCCTTTGCTGTTTTACCTTTATTCCAGATTTATTTTTTAGAATAATCCTTTAGTTTCCTTCTTAACTGGTGTCAAGTCTGTTACTAAACCCATCTGTTGGCTGTTTAATTTCCATAATTTTGTTTTTCAGTTCTAGACTTTTTATTTCATTCTTTAATTTTTCCTCCTTTGCTGAATTTTTCTCTCTGTATGGCACTGATCACTAAACTGGCCTATATATAGCCAGTGAGCTCTATGATCTGTGAGCTAAAACTGATTTTTATACTTTTAAAGGGTTGTTTGTAAAAGAAATGGCAAAGAGGAGTAAACTCCAAAGACTATATGTAACCTGAAAAAGCCTATATAATCTTTGGCGCGCGCTCTCTCTTTTTTTTTTTTAATATTTATTTACTTATTTATTTTCTGCAAGAACCAGATGCTCCAGAGGGTGAGAGGTTTACCAGAGACAGAGGGGGGAGCAGAACAGGCAGACTGATGAAATACACTGCTGAGGGGAGCAGCGGGCGAGACAGGAGAGGTCTGCCGTGTCACGTGGGACCCTCGCCAACAGGCCGGGATTGAACCGGTGCTGCAGAGGCTGCAGACAGCTTCACAGTGCGATGCTCAACTGCCTGCGCCACCAGGGGAGGCCATACTCTGGCTCTTTAAAGATGATGTTTGGGGCCTTCCCTGGTGGCGCAGGCAGTTGAGCACCGCACTCTGAAGCTGTCTGCAGCCTCTGCAGTGCCATTTGGATCCAGGCCGGCCAGCGAGAAACCCAGGTGGAGTGGCAGACCTCTCCTGTCTCGCGCGCTGCTCCCCTGAGCAGTCTGCTTGTTTTGTTCCTGCTCTGTCTCTGGTGAATCCTCTCACTCTCCCACACATCTGACCTGTACCCTGATTCTTGTATATATGAATAAATACATCTTTAAAAAAAAACAAAGATGTTTGGAAAATTTGATATATGTTCAGTAGAAGCATTTTAGAACCTATGTCTGATAACACCATTATTTGAAAATTTTTCCTTTTTTCTAGAGATTACTATTACTCTTAGTTTTCATCAACAACCTTTTGTTTCCTAGTATGTTTGGTTTCTTTGGAGTAGCGGGTGTTGTATATGCAAGATTTTTAAAATAATAGACCTCAGGGGCTACAGTGATTCCTCCACCCCCATGGTGAAGATTTATGTTTGCCTACAGTAGTAGAGTAGTAATCCTGCATAATGTTAATCCAGCATTAGGGAATGAGGTGATTCTAAAATGGGCATTGATTTACTTTTGGATCATACTTTTATTCCTATAGTGTAGTGTGCTTTCCAAGGTTTCAGTGCAAAGCATGGCCTTTCATGCTAAGCCTTAGAATATAACTCTCGTCTCTAATTAGCAGCTGTCAGAAGTTCTTAGCAGCCTGTTGGCCTCCTCTTTAAGAATCAGAAAAATAGGGCCTCCCCGGTGGCGCAGCAGTTGAGCGCTGGCTTGCGTAGCTGCCAGCAGCCTCTGCAGCACTGGTTCGATCCCCGGCCTCCGGGCAAGGGTCTCACGTGGCACGCAGATCTCTCCTGCCGCCCGCTGCTCCCCTCAGCAGTATACTTTGTCAGTCTGCCTGCTCTGCTCTCCCCTCTGGCTCTGGTGAATTCTCTCACCCTCCTACGCTTCTGACTGTATCCAGTGATTATATAAATAAATAAATAAATAAATCTTTAAAAAAAAAAAAAAAGAATCAGAAAAATAGAGAAAAGCAACCTCAAAGGCTAGATTGTTTGTGTATGTGTTCCAGTTTTTCTGTTTATCTTAGTTTTGGGAATTAATCTGAATTACTCAACTTTGTGTGTAGTTTTATAATTACAGTGTCTCCTCTTGAGATAATATCCAGATTCAGCGATCATCTCTTTTAGCATATATTTAGTTTCCAATGTTAATGTGGTTATTTCTTTAATGTTTTTGATACTAAAGCAATTAAAAATCAAAGTGATGTCTGAGTGGTTCTGAATAGCAAATTGTGGAGAAATCATTCGAAAAATATTTCACCATATCTCCTTTCTAAACTTTCTGTTACTACACTATAGCAGAGTGGTTTATCTTAGCTCCTGTTTGCTTATTTTGTGAGTTTTTTTTATTGTTTAAAATATATTGTACCTCTGATAAAATGTTTAATATGTCTATATTAAATAAGACAAGGTGGTGAAATAATTTCCTTCTTGTGTCTCTGCACTTAGTACAAACATTAAACTGTAGGAATCAGCTACAAATTAATACAGTATTAAGTGAAAAGAGGTTTAGTCAATTTTTGGTATATTCAGTACAGTCAGTTGTTGCTTTAAATCTTGCTGCCACATGCTGTACTTTAATCCAGGACAATGGTGTTTGATTTTAGTAGTAGCAAGTGTGCACATGTCCATGTGTATAAGTAAGAGAGAGAGAGGGAGCCTCCCTGGTGGCGCAAGGGTTAAAGACAGCACTATCAAGCTATAGCCAGTCAGGGAGCAACCCACATGATGCAGCAGATCTCTCCTGCCTCTCCCACTGCTCCCCTCAGCAGTGTACTTCAGTGTATCTACCTGCTCTGCTCCCCACTCTTCACTCTCTGGTGAATCCTCTCACTTCTCCCCCGTACCTCTGGCTTATACCCTAGTTCTTGTATGCATAAATAGGTAGATCTTTTTAAAAAAAGAGAGAGGGAGCATTCTTATTCTTTGTGGTAGTGATAGCATATGTTTTTATTTGGAGGAGAAAAAAAGGGACCAAGTTATTTCTCTAATCTCAGAACAGCTCAGTGAACTCCACTATAGGCCTTTAGATTGTTTCAGAATACTAATTTGGTGCTCATCATTTCCTAAGATTTTTCCTAAGAATGGACAACTTAGGTTCGAAATGATGTTATGCAATAATATGCATAAAACAAAAATTTGCTGTGGAAGTTCCAGTGTGTCATGAATTTTATAAAGTTCTACATTTAGAATATCTTTTTCTTTTTCAGCTTCCAGCAGATCTTACCAAGATACACATCACAGACAACCCTCATCCACAGGTGACTCATGTGTCTTCTAGTCAGTCTGGTTGTAGCATTGCCAGTGACTCTGGGAGCAGCAGTTTATCTGATATTTATCAGGTAATACCTTGCAAATTTTCTATGTTATGGTATCTTTTTTATTCTGACAAATATCCTGTGCTTGTGCTTTAGATGCTCACATACCTTTTAATTAGAATAAGAAATTCAGGCAGAAGGTCTTTGAGAATTATGCTTTATTAAATGTGTCATTTGCAATTAAAGAAATGATCTTTTGTTAGTGATCACATGTAATCCAGCAGTGTATGAATATTGTGTTCTTCTTTTTTTCTGGGTGAATCCATAACAACATAATGATTGCTTTGTTGAAAAATAATTCTTGAAAGCTCTGAACTTAAACTTTTGAAAAGCCTAATTTTTATTATAATTGACTCTTCTGTAAGTAGAAGTCATGAAGAAAATTAGGATGTTTTGTATTGTAAAGCCTCTATTGAATTTTCATGTAGCCACATTAAAAAGAAACTGGTAAAATTCTAACAATTTTTTTTAGTCTTTTTTTTTATTTAAATTTTATTTTTATATTCCCCATACACTTACAACCCCTTTATTTTTACCCCAAACCCGTAGAGTGACTCTTGTCTAACAATATATTTTAGCACACTGTATCCAGATATTATTTCAACATGTAATTGTTGCTTAAAAATTATGGATAACTTTATTTTTCATAGTAAGTCTTCAAATGTCAGAAATTAATACAAATTTTACAGCACATTGAAATTTACACTACCACATTCCAAGTGCCACTGATCTGTAGGAATAAAACTATTGTTGTGTGAGGACAACATTTTACTGTGGTTGTACAAAATTACCCAGATTTGTATGTTTTAGGAAAAAGTGTTCTTTTGTTAAGGGAGAATGTAGGCAGATGCAAAATGGAAAAATCTTTCATTTTTGGTTTACATGTGGCATTTCTTCACAAAGGTAGTTGTTGTGGCATTCTACAGTTCTCTGGTATTTTATAGTAGACAGAACAAAGAATTTTTCCAGTTCACCATTTTGAAGTACAACAAGGAATTTTTTTCAAGTAAAGTTAAAAAAGAAGGCAGTGGCTTTGGGGCCATTAACTCTTGGTATAGTTGTTGGATACCATACATTTTTCACTCCATTAGAAAGAGCAGAATATGCTTTTTTATACTTCATAAACTTCAAAGTTACTATTGACTGTCTTGCCTTGATCATCACATTCATTACCAAGTCATATCAAATCTGCTTCCTGCATCATTGTTGGTGTATATATGTATGTTTCATATTAACTCACATGTAATTTACATATAATACAACTCCCTTTTTACTGTAGACTACATGAAGACACAGAATAGTTACATCACTTCCAAAAGTACATTATGCCCCTCTGTATTTAGTCTTTTCTCCTGACCCTCAGCCCCTGACAACCACCAGTCTGCTTTCTGCCCTTTACTTTTGCAATTTTCAGAAAATCGTATAATTAGAATCATAGTTAAAAGAAATGAGATAAATCTGATAAAAGTAAGCAAATTATTAGTTAATGAACTTTGGAGGGTGAACAGAAGAAAGGAGCAAAAGTAATTAAATTCTAGATCCTGTAAAACAGAAATTCACAAGGTCAAAAGAAAATTCTCATAATACTTAGATATGCAACAATGTAAGATAAAATCCCTGAAGAATAGCCAAAGAAGGCAAAAATCCTCAAATTCAGTTAAGAACAGCAGCCAAGAGACAGAAACAGCATAAAGATTGAAACAAAAACAAGGCAATAAAGATAAAAAATAGGAGCAAGAATAAAAGAATCTCTAAAGAATAATTACTAGAGCGTACAAGGACTAGAAGCAGAGCAATAATACATTGATAAAATATATCTCCCAAAATGCAGAATTTCTACAAATCTCAACTTTTTAAAAATGGATAATGTAAGGTATACTAACCAAATTATTTGTCTGTATATCAAATTATAACCTCAAGTCTAAAGCAAAGCATAGCAGAGGACTTAAATATCAATAGTGGACTCTCGGTCTTTCAGTTGACTAAAACCTTCTTTTAGAGTACCAGAAAAAGCCATGAATACATCCTTTTGGCATTTGAGAGATTTTAAAAATCAACACTCCAAATCTATTCATGGCTTGTGGCAGTATAAGCAAAGCCTTATACAATGTGCAAGGATTTTTAATTTGAAGGGTTGGAGAGAAGATACAAGAAAGACAGCAATTATTTTCTTAATTAAATCTTATGCATTTACCTTGGGTTTACAATTCTAATAAATTTCAGGAGTACCTCTCTGTGTATAGACCTCACCATACTCACCACCAAATTTATAGTGTAGTCTCCCTCAATTTGACTGTCTCTTCTTTTATTTTCCATCCTTCTTCCCTTTCCACTCTGGTAATGATCATATTTTTAGAGAGTCTGAGAATTATTTTGTTATTTCTTTTGCTTTATTTGTATTCCACAAATGAGGAAAACTGTCCCCTAATTGTCTTTTTTACTTTCTCACTTGTAACAGCATTACTGCAAATTCCCACCAACAAGTACAAGGTTTCCTTTTATTTTCCCCACATCCTCGCCAGCACTTACAGTTTCTAGTCATTTTGACATAGGCCATTCTCACAGATATGGGGTGATAGCTAGTTGTGGCTTTGATTTGCATTTCCTTAATATATGATGTTGAACATTTTTTCATGTGCCTGTTGGCCTTTGTTGTCTTTGGAAAATGTTCTGTTCTTCAGACAACTTTTTGATTGGTTTGTTTGCTTTTGTTGTTACTGTGTATTGTATAAGTTCTTTATATATTTTGGATGTTAACCTCTTGTCAGACATGTGAAGTGCAAATATCTTCTCCTAGTCAGTAGGTTGCAGTTTTTAGGTAATGGTTTCTGTCTCTGAACAAAGCCTTTTAGTTTCATAGGTTCCCATTTCCTACTTTTTGCTTTTGTTTCTTCTGCCATTAGAGTCAAGTCCAGTCTCCAAAGTCATCCCTACAGTTAATGTCCAGGAGCGTATTGCCTGCGTATTTTTCTGTCCAACAGCAGTTCTTGACTTAAAATTGTTTCCACTATTTTATATGGGCTGGTGTGGCTATACTCCTATGCATTTCCTTTTTGAGAGTTTTTGTGTGTTCTGGTTTAAAATTAAAAGCCTTTGTGCTCAAAGCAACTTCAGAATTAAGCATTTACCACAGTCTAGGTAAAAATTGTGTGATTGTTTCGATGTGAATGTTTCTGTGTCATCATATTAGCTTAAATTTTAGCCAAAATCATGCATTAAGATGTTAGAATGGGGCCTCCCTGGAGTGCAGGCCTTAGGTATCAGCGTTATCAAGCTATCACCAGCCACTGTGACTTGAGATGGATCTCTGGCCAGGGAGCTAGCCCACATGGCACAGCAGGCCTCTCCTGTCTTGCCCACTGCTTCCCTCAATAGTGTGTTCCACTCTGTCTCTGGTGAATTTCCTCAACGCCCCTTGCCCCGCCCACCTCTGGCCTGTACCCCAGTTTTTGTGTGCATGTATGAATAAAAATAAATCTTAAAATAAATGTTAGATGTTCATGAAGAGAATATTTTTGTGTCTTCAAAGAATATTCAAGAAATAAGGAGTACGTTCTTTAGATTCTTTTCTCTATTTGTTTAATCTTTTCTGAGAGTTGGTAAATTGTGAATGTTGATACTTGAACTAAAACACTTGCCTTTTATTAACTTATTTTTAAATAACCAGTGGTATACATTCATCCGTCACCTCTTGTTTTTTTATTTTTTTTTTAAAGATTATTCATGCATATAAGAACCGGGGTACAGGTCAGCTGTGCGGGAGGGTGAGAGGATTCACCAGAGACAGAGCTGGGAACAGGACAGTCAGACTGACGGAAATACACTGCTGAGGGGAGCAGCAGGTGAGACAAGTCTGCTGTCCCATGTGGGTATCTTTGCTGGCCGGCCGGCGGGATCAATCTTGTGCTGCAGAGACTGCGGATAGCTTCACAGCACTGCACTCAACCACCTGTGCCAACAGGGGAGACCCCTACTTGTTTTTTTTAAAAGACTTATTTATGCACACAAGAACTGCAGTGTGGGCCAGAAGCAGAGACAGAATGGGGAGCAGAATGGGTGGATCTATGGAAATACACTGCTCATGTTGCAGTGGCTGGTGGTAGCTTGATAATGCTGTGTCTTTAACCCCTGTGCCACCAGTGAGGACCTCATCTCTTTACTTTCTATGCAAGAAGTAAACGCGTTCCTAGAAATCCCAATGCTTTGGTTAACCACTTCTTTGTCGGGTTGATGCTTTGCTTTCTTTGTTAGGTTGTAAAATATTTTTATTGTAAAAATACTCAGTAGAGGATGATAATGCAAATGGTATATCAGAACATTTGCTCTTGGTTGCTGAATTTGCTAGGTTCTACATACCAGCAGATCTTCATTAGCACTGCTCAGCCTTCATGGTTCTTTTCATATATGTTGATTGACTGTATGCATATCCATTTGATATTGAAGCAAACCAAAAAACTTTGTTATGCCTTTGTTTTACATTTTCTGCAGGGAAAGCTGTTTCTCTCAGAGCCTTTCACAATTTAACAGTGAAGTAAAGTTTGTGCCTTAAGCAAACAGTAACCTACCCAGAAAATTCTCCATCATAAGTTATTGACTCGTACCTTTCATGATGTGTATAGTATATCCAGATTTAAAGATTTTGAGACAAAAATTGGAATTTAAAGAAAACTTTGTACTGCTGATTTTTCCTATTAAGACTGCAGACTACTACTGGTGCAAATAAGAGTGCAAAAAAACACTTCATTTTAAACTTTTCGAAGTTCTTGTGCCAGTCTGTCCAGAATTCTGGTACCACATTTCCACCAGAATGTTATTTTGCCACCTCACCTAGCTTTGCCCCACCATCCATTTCCTTATACTTTAATATTTCTAATAAGCATGTCATCTATTTCCTAGTCAAAATCTGTTATTTGACTACTCTTCTTATCTTTTAAATTCCAACATGAAGTAAATTATAAGAGCAATGTGACTTTATTTTAAAAGCTGATTTATACTTCACCTCATTTCAAATTCATGTTCATATT